CACAGGTCCAGGCAGCCAACTGTTGGCACAGAGATCCCCCAGGGGCCTGACGAGCGCAAGACCCTCTGCCCTTTGAGGCCGGGTGTGCTCCGGGCCAATGCCTGGCCGCGCCCATCGGTCTTCGATTAACGCCTGCGCCCTCTCCCCCCTCCGGGAACGCCCCGGGGGGGGGGGGGGGGGCCGAGGGGCCGACTCACATATTCGCTGAGCCCCGCAACCAGCTCCGGAGCTGCCCAGAATCGGGGGGCGGGGGTACCCCCCAGGAGGCAAGGTGCCACAGGGAATCCCGGAGATGGGCGGTCTCTTGGCTCGGTCCGATTTCTTGTCGGAGGGCGGATGCAGGACGGAGGTATGCAAATGGATTGTTTTGAAATATCCCCGGCGCCCCGGTGGACAAGCTTCCCCCTCTGCTCACGCTCTCCCACCCGCCCGGGCCTGGGGAAAGCGAATCCCCTCCCCTCCCCCCCCCTCCCCCCTCCTACTCCTCTCGCAATTCTGTCTCCACTTGGTGCCATCTTGCCTTGTCCTGAAGGGCTGGCGCCCCTGGCGTGAGCTTCCAGCACCCTAGCACCCCCTCTCCTCCCTATTTTGCACCTTTGCACTCTTGTGCCCTTGTCCCTAGTTCTCTTCTTTCTACCCTCTCCCCCCCTTCTCCCTCTGCGGCTTTCCTCCGCCCCTCCCCCTTCTCCAAATTCCTTTATTATGGTGAAAAGTGAATCAGGTTCGGGCCCCATACATCAGCCAGGCAGACTGGCCTCTCTCCCACCCTCCCTCGCTCTCTCTCTCTCTCTCTCTCTCCCACGCCCAGGCCATTGACCCGCGCCATCCAACAAGCTCATCCAACAAACTCCATCGACTTCTTCGCGGTTGAGCTCTCTCCCAACTGGTCACAGAAGACATCTCGATGCTCATACGCCGCGGCTTATGCCGGTGCTGCGCGCCTGCAAGGCGGTGCCTCGGCTGCCGCGCGTGCTGCCACCTCGGGCTCCAACGCCTACTCGGCCACCCCCACCCAAAACCAGCCAACCGGCCGTACGCGCGCGCACACACTTTGCCCTTTCTTGGCCTCTCGGTCGCCTCGCCCGGCCGATCGATGCCATGGTGGCGAGTCTTCTCCCATCTGTGCTTTTGACACTTCTCCCCCCCCCCCCCCCCCTGGTGGCTTCCTCCTGCACAGGCTTCACCTCCAAGTACAGCCATGCCAAGCGTCACTCGCTGGTCCCACCCGGGGTAGGGACTCCCCCGAGCCGGTCCAAAGCGGCCGGCCCGCTGGCCGGCAACTGGCACGATACGCCGGCCTCGTCCGATGAGGAAGAAGATGCCCCGGTCGAGTCCATCCCCTCGGGTGATGATACTGCGCTGATGGCCGGCGGGCCGAGCGCCAGCAGCTCCGCCGAAAATGCCACCCTTTCCGCTGACGGGGCCTGGCCCGAGCAGGGTGCCGCGGCCTCCCTCCTTGGCGAAGGATCTTCCTTTTCGGTTCTCCAATTCTCCGGTGCGCCCTGCTTGCATCCCCATCCACAACATGGAGAAAGATCTGCCATCGTCACTAACTCCGCGCTTTTTCAGCCTCGGCCAAGCGCCAGCTGCCCATGCTGGCCGAGGCCCTCTCCGGTAACACCTCCCTCAAGGAGGCCTACTTTAACCGTGCGCATGCCCCCTGGCGTCCCTGCCTCCTCCCCCAGTGGCCTCCTGTGTCTGAGCGTGTCGCCACCCCCTCCCTACTTGGCTCTCCATCTCTCTCTCTCTCTCTGACACCCCATCACCACTGCCCCTCTCGTCACTTGTCAACATCGCCGATCCACCACCCAGGCGTCGATGCGCCCAGCCCCGACTGGCTCCCCCTTCTGAATACCCTCTTCCAGCTGCCCTCCCTCCGGACGCTTGACCTGTCTTGTGCGATCACGCCTCCTCCCCCCTCCCCCCCCCCCTTCCTCCTCACAATGCCACATCGCCGTCTCTTTCCATGGCTCTAATGCTCCTCCCCTCCTCCCCCCTCTTGCCTCTCGATTGCCCCCAGTCAACCAAACCCTCTCGGCTCAGACTTTCACCGCTCTGGCTGAGGGGCTGAAGAGCAGCAAGACCATCCGCTCCCTTTATTTGGAGAACGTCCGCATGCTCGGCTCCTCGGCGGCCATCATCGCCACTGGGCTCGGGCAAAACACCTCTCTCGAGGTTCTCAGTCTTGCCAGTGCGCTTTCTCCCGACCACAGCCCGGCTTTTCGCCCTTCCTGCTCGCTCGGCCCCGATTTGAACTTCCCCCCTCCTCACCTGGCAAACTCACCCTACTTTGTGGCCCCCGCCCCTTCCCCGCCGCCATCACCTCGCCTCCGCCTCGTGCGCAGATAATCTGATCCGTGTTGATGGGAGCCGTGCTCTGGCCAATGCTCTCCTTCACAACTCTTGCATCCGTGCCATCAATCTCAGTGGTGCGCCATGCCATGTGTTTCTCCCTCTTCCTCCTCCTCTCCCGTCAGCATGCTCTTCCCCGACACCTCCCCACTGATGACATTCCTCGGGACCCCTCCCTCCCTCCTTCCCCCCCCCCTCCTCGGCCATCAGGTAACCCATTGGGCGATGACAGCGTGGCTCTCCTGTGCGATGCCATGTATGTTCGCCTGTATGGATCCTCGCCAGCTGGCTCGGTCCTCCGTCTGCAGGAGCTGGATCTCTCGCGCACCAACATCTCCGCCACGGCAACCCGCCATCTGGCGCGCATCCTCAACCCCCGGAGTTCCTCCGGTGATGTTGAGTCTGCCGGTGGCATGGTTTACGGCTCTCCCCCGTCACAGGCGTCCCCCTTGAGCAGTGGCTTCTTTGGCGGGGCCTTCGGCGCACTGGGCGAGGCATTTAGCTCGTCACGTCGCCGGGGGTCCGGTGCCGGCCATCGTGCTGCGGATAGCAGCAGTGATGAGGACGATAGCGACAGTGACTCGGATGATCGCCCTGGCGGCGCTGGCGGCGCCGATTCGTTCTCCGGCCCGGCCGGCCTCCGTGCTTTGATTTTGGCCGACAATCCCCTTGGCTCGGATGGTGTGGCCATCCTGTCTCGAGCTCTGGAAAATAATCGCATCCTGCGCGTGTTGGACATCTCCAAGACCGGCGGTCTCCGTCTGCAGGGTGCCGCTGCTTTGGCGGATGCCCTCCCTCGCGCGACGGCCCTTCGTGTCCTTCGTCTTGCCGAGTCGGACCTGACCCCGGACCGGGTGGCCGCCCTGGCCAACGGCATCCGCACCGCGCCCAACCTTTCTCTGCTGGATCTGTCAGGTATGCATCGTGTCGGCGTGCTGTGCCCTGGCTTCCCAGGCTCCACTACGGAGATCGCCTGCTTCCTCTTTCGTTCCATTTTCGCCTTTTCTTCACCCCTTCTCAGCCCTCCTTTCCCCCCCCCCCCCCCTTGGCCTTTCGCACTGTGTCTGACACCATCTGTCTCCAGGCAATCCGATCACTGCGGAAGCCATGTCGCTCTTGTCGGCCTCTGTCATCAAGAACAAGAAGCTCGCCTCTCTCATCCTCAAGAGTATGTGCCATGCCACAAATGAACCGGCCGAGGCGCCACGAGCACTGTCCTCCTCCTTCATCCCTCTCGGATACTTGTCAACTTGCACTTGGCATATGCTAACTCCACACTCCCCTGCCCCCTCCCCCGTCACCACTGCCACCGCCATCGCCGCCACACACACACACACACACTCACACTCCCTCTCAGACTGCCAGCTGACCACAGAGTGTGCCATCGTTTTGGCCAAGCACATTTCCGCTGACAAGCGCCTCACGCACCTGGAGCTCTCCAACAATCCGGGATTAGATGGATCTGGCCAAACTGTCCTGTTCGACGCGCTGAAGAACAACGAGCGTCTGGCCTATCTTGGCTTGTAAGAAAGGATGCTCAGTGCCCCAGCAGCGCGGCGGAGCATGCATACATGCGACATGCGCCCGACGTTGCGTGTGCAACCACAACCGGCATGAGCATGATCGCGCGTGCACGCACACTCGATCCTGTACACACGCATCAACAGGCAGGGGGTTCCAGAGAGCCTTCCCGATCACCGATGAACAATAAACTATCCACGCACATATGTGGAGCGCAAATGTGAAGAAGGTGATTGCTACATTTTCTTATGTGGCTTTTTGTATTGGTGCTTCGCTCACAGGGGGTGTGGCGGAGAGGGGGGGAGAGGGGGGGGGGGAAGGGGGGAGTACAAAATGCCCATGAGTAGACACGCATGCGGGTGACGTAGGCAGGTCGGGAAACCCTCACACATGGCTGCCCGATCGTCGACCTATACAGGGGCGATGTACTCAGGCAAGGGGGAAGGGGCTGAAGGTGATGAAACAGCGTCGAGGGACCAAAGTCGGGGAGAAAGGGGAAGGGGGGACTGTCGGACGGATTCGTAACTGGCCGATGTAGTGATAATATACAGGCTGGCGTCTCATACGGGGGGGGGGAATCGGGCATGGGGCAGGACACAGACAGAGGGCATCCGCCTGGGGGGGGCCAGCAAAAGCGGATATCAGAAGGAGAGAAGGGCAGCGGAAGACCTCCAACTTTGGGCGCCTAGTTGGCGGGACGGAAGTTGGGCGGCACCGGCACTGCCACGATCTGCAAGCAGCTGATGGTCAGCGGGGTGCCGGGTCCGCCGGCCGAGGGGGGAGGAGTGCCATCCTGTTGACCGGCAGCGCTGTCAGTCCCCCGGAAGACCGCATCCTTGACAGTGAGCTGCCAAACCTCGTCGCAGGACTTGTAATTGAGCAGGTTGCCCTGGGAGCGGAGGGAGGAAGGGGGGCAGAGAGAGAGAGAGAGAGAGAGAGAGAG